CGGAAAGGTCAGATGTTCGAATCCACCCAGAGGCACCTTGGAAGAAAGGCATGGTGTTCTGCTTCCCCAAAATCAGCCCTGGAGAGTCCGATGGGCTGCGGTTCTGTTCTGAGCTGTCCGACAGGCCTTGTACTTGGGTGGTGGTTCGTATTACTGTTAGAGTCCTCTTTAAGCCCAAACCTTTGAGAAGGTTTATGTTTTGTTTGTTTTTTTGTCCCCCTTGAGAATCGATAAAATAAAACATTTTAAAGCAGCAAACAAAAATAGGGTTATGCTAACTGAAAGCAAGTTGAAAATACGTCATGATAGATAACACGAGATCATTTCTCCTGCACCCAAGAAATACAATATTCTAGATAATTGCGGGATTATTAAAATGAATTACAATGGATTATGGTCCTTATTTTACTTGGACGCTTACAAAACTACATCCTAGAGCTTTCCTTGATAGTAGTCAGTTGATAATGAGCATTGAAAAGTTTGGTTTTTTAGTAGGGGACTGTTTTGGCTGGGACAGCACTGTAGGTCAGGGGTTTGAACCCCCATTGCTCTGAGGGAGAAGAGGAGGATGCCTGCTTCTGTAACGATGGAAGCCTTGGAAGCAAGCCCTGTGGGGCCATTCGACCTTGTCCAAGAGAGTCATCGGAAGCCAGGGCCAACTCCATGGCAGTGGATTTGTTTGTGTTTTGTATAATTGTGTTTTCTCAAATTATCTGCTTGAAGGTAAATGTGGTCCTGTCGATCTTTCGTCTTTCTGTCATTCCCTGGCTCACCATCACCTGCAGCATGAGGTCCAGACCTGGTGGAGTTGCGCAGGGGCCACGCAGTCATGCCCTTGCTCCATCCTGCTCACAGGCTCCTGTGAGCCAGAGGTTCTGCCTGCACTGGGCAGCTCCCACCTGCCCCCGGGGGCTGCCCAGGTTCCTATCGCTTAGGGACATCTGGTCCTCAAGGGGAATTGCCCCTGCTCCCTCTACCTGGTCAGTTTGCTGCTCAACCTCTGATCCTGCTAAGATGCCACCTTCCCAGCCTAACCGAGGTGGAATCTTACCTGGGCAGACAAGTGAGCCTCCGCGTCCCACCCAGCACTGCATCTTCAGTGTCGACTCCCTTGTCTCCCTTCATTGGTCTGTGAGCGCCACAACAGACACTCACATCGTGTTTCGGTGTCTGGGACATATGGCTCCTTATGGATAATCAAAGGGACTTGAAGAGATTTTCTTAACTGTTACATTTTGGAGCACCTGCCTTATTTGATGTCCAAGTAAGACCACCCAGGCTCTCGAGTGGTTTGGTGGGACCCTGGTGAGATGTGGATGGTGACACTTGTATTTTTGCTGCTCAGAGCTTTTAGGGTTTGATATACCCGCAGGTCTCTGGCTCTATGGTGTGATGGCCTTCATTTGTTTCTCTCGTCTATCCCAACTATTACTCTCCATCCTTGAACTAGTGATTTCAACCATCACGAAGAGATTCTTCTAAAGACTTGTGTGTATCTCCCACGTCAGAATTAGCCATTTGGCCGAATTTTCTCCCAAGAAGGATAATCATGTCAAACTGGAAACCGTATGTGGCTTCCTCCAGGCCTTTGGGAAGTTAATTATTAAGGCAGGCCTCCACTGTCCAATATGGGAGTCTTTGGTTCTTGGACACCTGATTTGTGACTAGTGCACATTGAGACGGGCTGTAGGTGTAGACTGTGCAGAGACGCTTTTGAAGATTCCGTATGAAAAGTATATAAATTACATGTTGAAAATAGTTTGCATGTATTGGGCTTGTTAAAGCGATGTTAAGTTACTTTTACTCTTTCTTTGTCCAGGAGGCTCTGGTGGCAAAGTGGGTTTTGCGCTGGGCTGCTAGCTGCAAGGTCAGCCATTTGAAACCACCAGCCTCACCTGAGAAAATACCGAGGCTTTCCACCCCGGGCGTCTTGCCTTGTATTCTCTACCTTTATATCTGGGCTTTCCTATCCATTGCAATGGCTCCACAGAACTCACAGACAGTAGTCATGACTTACAGGTTTATTAGGCAAGTTCATGCCAGTGAGAAATGTCCAGAAAAGAGTTGTTCATGAGGATATGTTACAGCCTTCCTTTAGGACTGCTCCTAGACGCCCAAAGGGCATACACTCCGCTGTAACCAAAGGGCATGTACTCCGCTCCAAACCTCAACCCAAAGGCCTTCCGTTTAAGCTCTGTGGGTCAGCAAACCCAGCTCCCTCAATGAAGTGCCCAGAGGCACCCCACTCCACAAGCCAGCCTCCTGCACAAAAGTCCTTCATTTCTCTCTCTGTGGGCTGGGGGTCAGCTTCCTGCCCTGAAGAGCCAGCAGGCGTCTGTTGGCATCAGGCACGCTGCTGTGAAGAATGCGGACCATCCAGCGGACACATCTGGCATAGGGTCTCACTAGCATGGCATCCGTACTTCCCCTACAGGAAACATGCTGTTGTTGGGTGCCAACAAGTTGGTTCTGATCCATAGTGGCCCTGTGCGCAGCAGAAGGGACACTGCCCAGTCCGGCACCGTCTTCACACTGGCTCCTATGCCTGAGCCCATCGGTGCAGTCACTGTGCCATTCCATCTTGTTGCCTCAGCCTTCCACTTTTTTTGCTGCCTCTCCACTTTACCACACATGCTGTCCTCCAGGGGCTGGTCTCTCCTGACAACATGTCCAAAGTATGTAAGACAAAGCCTCCCCATTGTTGCCTCTAAGGAGCACTCTGGACGTCCTACTTCTTCCAAGATGGATTGGTTTGTGCTTCTAGCAGTCAGTGGAACTTTCAGTATTCTACTCCAGTGCCACAGTTCAAATGCATCGGTTCTTCCGTGGCCTTCCTTACGCAGCGTCCAACGTTCACATGTATATGAGGCAGTTGGATGGACCATGGCTTGGCTCAGGCACACCGTAGTCCTCACAGTAACACCTTTGCTTTTCAGCACTCTCTACAGGGCTATGCAGCAGGTTTACCTAATGCAACTCATCTTTTCATCTCTAGATTGCTGCTTCCATGAGCACTGATTGTAGATGCAAGTGAGACAAAGTCCTTGACCATTTCGATCCCCCCCCCGTTCATTATGTTGTTGCCTATTGGTGATGTGAGTCATGATTATTTCTTCTTTAACTTACAGTCCCAGGTCCTCTGTTTGGAGGGCGCCTCTTGTGGCAAACTCGGTTGTCGGTGGGCGCAGGTCAGAGTAGAACTTCCCCCAGGGGATTTTTAAGGTTGTAATCTTGACCCAAGCCTCCCATGTGACACAAGAAGTCCGTATACTACCGCTCACTCTTGCCTCTAATTAAATACTGAACCTGGACAGCCATCCTATGGTGATTTCAGTTCATAGCAACCGCAGTTGATGAGTAGAAGGCAGAAGTGCTGTTGGTGCTGTTGGCTGCTGTGGGCTTGGTTCTGACTCAGAGTGTCCTTAGTGTTTTCAGTGGCTAGCTCCCCAAAAGTGGACAGCCAATTCCTTCTTAGTCTGTAAGCTGAAACCTGTCCAATTTGGGTGACCCAGCTAGCATTTTAGATATCAGTGACATAGCGTCCAGCATCACAGCTACACACCAGTCACCACAATATGACAAACTGACAGATAAGTGGTGGGAAGAAATATTACAGGGAAGCAAATTTTCATGAAGCTGAGAAGCACGTATACAAACAAAAACTGTTCCACCCAGGATGACTGTCCAACCTAGTCAGAGGCTAGAGATGACAGGTATTAAACATTCTTCCTCCAGATGAAAGATTAGGTTCATTACTAAGATCATATCACTTTATAAGTGTCTTGAGTCAGGAAATGAGATGATAAATACGAAGGTATTTTGGAAAATACAAAATGCAATAAAGCTGTAGGCTTGTTTAATTTTGCTTTTGCAAATGAAAAAAGACATCAGAAAGATTAATCATATGCATTTTACACTGTTTTTTAATATATGTAATTTGAGATATAATTTTTAAGTATATAAAGTATATTTTATGTCTGCTCATATGTTCAATGGAAGCCAACTGGTTTATTTTAAACGACAAAACTAATTTTGAAATTGTTGTACTACCGTATTCTGACTTGTTTCAAATGTTCAACATCAAAGCTGGGACATGGGAAAGTACTTCAGTCCCTCTTAAGCAGCCATCCAAGGTGCCGCTGTTGGCACTCCCTGTCCGAAGTGAGGAAAATCAGAGATGCAGGGAACAACTTGTCCGATGGACGAATGGATCCCAGCTAGATGGTGCCCGTCTACCACTACTAACTGTTCTGAGGGGCTCTTGTCAGAAGGCCCTGGACAATGTGAAACAAAACTCACAATCATTCAAAGACCAAGCTTACTGTTGGACAGACCGGCGAAACCCCTGAGACGATGGCCCTGAGTCCCCCAGAACTCTCCCAGGGCTCCACATTCAGTCAGGCACTGACATCTGTAGAGAGGGAACCGTCACACTAAGGGCATGTGTACACACACCGTAGAGTAATCAACCATGCAGTGTCCTAAGGGTAGCATGTACCCAAGGCCACGGTCCAGAGGGGCGAGGAAAGGAAGGAGGAATGAAACCGGAAGCACGGGGAGGCAGTGGGAAAAGTGTGGGGATGCAGTCAATGAGGTGAAACCCAATGTGTGTGAACTGTTGATGGACAACTGATCCGCTCTGTAAATCATCACCCAATCCACAGCACGGAGTTCAGTTGAAGAATGAGAACAGTCTCTGGAGAAGACAGTGGAGGACTCTGAATCGGGGCCTGGGACAGGGAAAGGGCACGAGTGGAGAGGCCGGAGAGACTGGGTAAAGTCTAGCTATGGTGTTGCTCCGACGTTCATGCCTTCCTGCTGACGGCTGCAGTGTAGTGATGTAAGATACTAATATTAGGGGGAGTGGGTATACAGGCACCTCATGGACTATGTTTGCAACTGCCCAGACAGTTGCAAATCTTTTCAAAATAAGTTTTAAAAGTGCCAAGGCGTAAATGAAAATCCAAATAATCCAAAGCTGCCTTCTTTTCCATGTGCAGAGACAGCGCCACTGCTGTGCGAGACGTGGAGACGTGGCTGCCCCGGCTGCACACCCTGGTCGTGGGGCCCGGCTTGGGCCGAGACGATGCTCTTCTACAGAATGTCAAGGTAACGCCTGAACCGCGTGGGATGAGGACCTGCCCGCTCAGGATAGCGTGAAACCAGATCTCTTGAAGTCAGGGCAGCATGTTTCTGCGTTTTCCAAGCTGTTGCTTAGTCTTTTGTATGCCTCGTTCTTGATTCATGGAGGCAGTTGACTGGGTTTGGAGGTGAGGGGAGGAACCTGGCTTAAAGGCAGCGAACCCTGCGAACCAGCAACAACAGCCAGCCGTGCACAGGTTTTTCACTCGTGGGCCACCAGCTACAGTCATACTGCAAAACATTCTAACCTTAGTCTGGAATAGTTCCCCGTTACTGAGAGTATCACTGGTTCATATGTCTTATGTCTGATTTTCGTGAGCGGAGGTTCAGGGTCCTAGTTGAACAATACTGAGCAGTGACCAAAGGTTAGCATCAAAGGCTCAAGTTTACCTCTCAGAGGAGCCCCATACTTGGTCCAGGACCCTGGCAAGTTCCTCAGCCCTACGAAGCCATCCCTTCCACCCTTAGACAGGAGGTAATCACACCCTCTGGAAGGCTAACGTAGGAGCTCTGGTGGCGTCGTGGCCACGCATTGGGCCACTAACCTCAGGGTCCACGGTTTGCAACCACCAGCTGCTCCTCAGGATAAAGACGGGCTTCCCACTCCCATAAAGAGCTACAGTCTTGGAAACCCATAGGGGAACTTTTACCCTGTCTTATAGGGTCGCTACGGGCCAGCATAGACTTGATGCAGTTGAGTTTGAAGGCTTACGTGAATAAAATCGCGTACAGTGTTTTTCACAGCACCCAGGTCCGCTCAGTTTATGGTATTTTCTCATGGCAACGCCATGCACAGGGGAATGGCCCCTACCCTGCCCTGCCCCATGCCCATCGTCAGCAGCAGATCAGGCCATTGTGGTCCATAGCATGGTTCCCCACACTTAGTTGGCTTCCTGCCCCCTGTTCAGAAAAAAAGTTACTCAGTGCCCACCCTGGCCATTAAAACTTATACTCACAACCCAGGATAAAGTGTACGTATTTGCTTCCGCAGCTCCCTCTGGATGGTTCTGAAGGGAGCCCTGGTGGTGTCGTGGTTACACATTGGGCTGCGATCCGCATGCTCAGCAGTTCGAAACCACCAGCCGCTCCCAGGGAGAAAGACTGAGCTTTCTACTCCCGTAAACAGTTACAGTCTCGGAGATCCACAGGGCTCGCTGAGAGTCAGCCTTGGCTCCGCGGCAGTGAGTTTGAGGTTTTTCCCCTGAATGGTTCCAGCCCCCTCCAGAGGGCAGTATCGCCCACCTTGGGAGACACCGCCATGCGGTTTTCCGGGTCGGGTTTTCACAACTACAGCTAGGTCTTTCGTCCCAGCGTGTCCTGTCGTAGACCTGTTCAGCTTTGTAGCCACAAGCACGTGTCCACAAAGTGCATTGGCTGGGAACTGAAGCCAGGTCTCTCCCACATGGAAGGTGAGAATTCCGCGTCGGTAGGCCAGGGCCCCTTGGTTTATGGGAGAGCAGATGGCATTAGAAGTAATTGTCACAATGCTTCCAAGTTACAGCCTTTGATTTCTGAGATTTGATTATTCTGAAAACTTTATTTTTATTCTCATCTGCACATGTGAATAACGTTCCACAGGGTATTCTCCCCGGGCGAGCCCGTGCTGTCAGCCTGCTTCTCCGGAAAGTTCTAGCAGCTTCATTCCTCAGTCAGGAGGGCCTCATCGTGTTGAAATAACCATGGGCTTTGGGTCTTAACAGCGTTGGTTCCTGGCTGCCACCCACATTTTGACCTCTGCTCTCTGCTCTGGCTCACAGATCTAAGCAGGCATAGGACGGGCCGTGGCGCTCATGAGAGAAGTGACTCAGGGTCACACCCACACCTGTATTATTATGTATTCAGCACTAGTTATGGCAACCCTCATGCAAAAGAATGAAATGTTGAGTTCTCCAAAATTTGAACTTCAAATCAACAGCAGCCACCACCACGGAAAAAATCAGAAAACCAGGATAGAATGCCTGTTCACATTGTAAACACCCAGGTCTGAGCCCAGACTGGAGGGGAGGGTGGCCAGCTGGGGCGGAGGGAGTAGAGTTCAGGACAAGAGGAGGAACCACAGCAGCAAAGGAGTAGACAGAGTGGCTGTGCCCGCTTGAACACGATGGAACAGAAGCCCAATTAAAGGAGGGTGCCCGGGGCTGTTTCTGTGACTTGTTAGCCGTCTTATACTGGTAAAAGATGTGGGTGGTGGTGGTGGGGTGTGCTAAAACAAATCTTCCCATTGAAACTTCCACCAGAAATCCGAAATCCACCCTGCTTCTGCCCCCGTCTGGTTCAGAATTGTCCGTGGTTTGGGCGCATTGAAATCGAGCGCTTGTTTTTCACTTGCCCGAGGACAGGGCCCGTGTGAGCGTGCTCCTCTCAGCAAGCTGTGCCCGGGGGGCCTTCAGGGGACTGTTTGTTGGCAGTTGCTGCTGTTGGTACAGAAAACTGATAATACTTGCAAATACCTTTCTTTCTTCTTTGCATTTCAAACGATTCCCTTTTTGTCTCTTGAAAATTCTCGAAACAAAGGAAAAGAGCCCGCTGTCTGGGAGGCCAGGCAGGCCCGTTGGCCCGGCTGGACCCTGTGGGGAGCGTTGGCCGATTAGAGCTGTGAGCTGCAGAATGGCAACGGTTCCATTCTGGACTGAGAAGCTGTGATAATGGAAGTGCTAGTGCTGGAAGGGGGAGCTATTCATCCCCTTTAAAAAGAGCTTCGAGAGAATAGTGAGTGATTAATGAGCCAGCAGTTGTGCATTTAGGATAAATAATCTGAGAGGCAATCAAACACAATTTAAAAAGTGGCTGTAGATGGCACATTGTGCAAATTAGAGGCATTTAGGATTCGATGGGTTTGGAAGCGACGTGGAATTAGCATGGGGAGTACACGGCGCTTGTCAGGTGGTGCCATTCAGATCTTTGGAGATTTTACCCACTTGCTGTAAAGTCGAAGTTAATAACCATTTCTGAGCGAGAGATCGTTGGTTTCATCCGAGGGGGAGAGCGCTTCTCCCCGGGGCGTTCCCATTTGTAAACAGCATGCCCGGGCCCCACATCTGCGCCCTTCCGTCCAGCGCTTTGTGCATCCGTTGTTCTCCTCACAGTGGGGGCTTCCCATTCACGGTCACGGGAGATCCGCACCGATAATTATGCCACTTCCCTAGATGGTCTGTCATTGGAAATAGAGGCAAATGAGGGTTGCCTGGCAGAACGAGCCTGGAGTGTTTGGTCTCCCCCCCCAAGCCTCGTGACAATCCTGCTCTTGGTCCATTACAATCTCTGGAGCAAAGGACATGTCGTCTGACACCTGTTTTGTGCCCACAGCCTCTAAGTCCCTGTGTGTCCTGGAGCCAAGACGCTGGGAGAAAGTTTCCCGAATAGTGCTTTAGAGTTGTAGACGGGCCACTGGCCTGGACGGGTAGACTGCAATGGAAGTGGATGTAAGTTCTGGGCTAGCGTTTTGGCAGTGGACTCCCCCCTGCAGTGGGTGATGCAGTGCTGCCCCGGGCCTTCCCCTCGGGTGCCCGGGATCCCGAGCCACTGCCACCGGACCGCCTTCTGCTTCAAGAAGCTGTTTCTCAGGCTGTTTTCTAAGCATGGCATCAAACATCGACTTCCTCTTGTGTACAGCTGTGATCTCTTGGCCAAAGGTAGACCTCCAGGTGTGCTCTGCCTGCTTGTCCCCCAGAATGACGAGCACCAGCCCTGCCTAAGAGTCGCTCTATCTTAGCACTACTGTTCCCGAGGGACAGGACTGACCTTCAGGTAGCATCTGGTCGTGTGAAACGCTGAGGCGGTTGTGGCCCGCCAGCAATTTGGTACTTCACCCTTAGCTGCGGACTCTGCAGGCATGTTAAGTACTGCTAGATGGATGCTTCATTCCTCCACAAAGGACTTATTGCAGAGAAAATATAAGATCGGCCATTAGGAGTAATGGCCATCAGGTGGTTAATTAGAGATGAAGGACTTCATTTTGAAATGACCCTTTAAGCGAATGGGAAAATTAAGTGCTTGGATTTTACTGAAACTGTTTCATCAATGTTTTTCTCCTCTGGGGCAAATACTTGTTCTAGGGCACAGCAAACGTTGGCCTCCGAAGTTGTTAGGTGGGTGACCCAAGCGTGGCCAGGCATCTTCTTTGACCTTGAGTTTCCTCATTGGGGCCATCAATTGTAAGGAGTCTTGGTGCCCGAGTGGTTAAGCACTTGGCTGCTAGCCAGACGGCCAGCAACCTGGACCCACCAACCGGGGCTTGGCAGGAGACTGGATCTGGGCATTCAGAATGGAGCCTTGCAAAGCTGATGGGTGGTTCCCCCCTGTCCCCAGGACACTCAACAGTCCCAACCTGACTGACTGAATCAGGAAGACCGATAGGCTAGGTGAGATGTATACCAACACTCATTGTGTGTGCTGTGTGTTTGTGTGCCAGGTTCTGTTTTACGCGCTTTGTAGTAGTGAATTCATGTTATTCTCACAACAGCCCTCTAGGATTGTTAATATCGCTACTCCTAGTATTACTGTTCTTCTACCAGCGAGGAAGCTGTTAACAGGGAGTGATGTCTGATGCAGACATCGGCCCCTCCTGGTCACAGTGGCCGGGCCAGGTTTGAGATGCAGAACACTGAGCGCCAGGGTGGATGCTCTGAGAAGCAAAGCAGGGTGTGTGTGAAAGCACTTTAGAGGGCGGGCTAAGTCAGGAGCAGCATGCAGCCCCATTCATTCCGCTGCCCTGTGCCGGGCCTCGTGGGAGGCCCTGGGGACACACCTTCTGAGCTTGGCAATACCATACTTTCCACACGTGGGGGCCCTTGAATATGATTCACATAGTGTGTAGAGGGAACTTGTGGGAGAGGAGGTGGCACAGTTTGCAAAACAAAAAGTAAAACGGAAGCATTCTTTGTGTAGAAACCGGCTATACGGGAAGATGTCACAGGGGGTTACTGGTGGTGTCAGCTTTGGGCAGCGTCTGAAAATACATCTGGTCT